GGGGTACAGGGGACAGACCTGTCTCGGGCCTGGCTAGCAGCTACCGAGCCACTCTGCCAGCTCGACATGGTACTTCTTCGCCTGGCTGCTGAAGAGGCGGAGTTCCTGACGCCCTCTGTTACTGGCTTCCTCACTGTACAGTGGGGCTGAGCCCCAGCATGGCGATACTTCGCTTGGTGAGGGAACACCAAAGGACAGGGGCAGGTAGAGGAGTAAAGGATTCCGTGATTTCAGTGGGTTTGCTCCCATGGGGCCATGCCAACTTAACGGGTTGTGTCTGACGTACCCAGTACCGACCGATTGGCTGTAGGTGTCAGAGGGGACCATGGGAAGAGGAACTGACCGAGCCACCAATCGATGACGGCTGTAGGGTTGTCGGTGGAGTTCACGACCCTGGATGACACGGGAGCACTGGCCTCTGGCTGAAAGGCCTAGTGCTGCCTCGACCCCTTCCTCTGCTGACACGTCTGCTCGCTCCTGAAATAACTCCTGAAACATTGCCTCCTCTGCCACTCCTCTGGTGTTGTCTGACATACTCTTTAATTCAAGGATTCTGTGTCCCTGAGTAACGGATTCTGTGTCCCTGAACAATTCTGTGTCCCTGAGTAACGATTCTGTGTGTCCCTGAGTAACGATTCTGTGTCAGTAACGATTCTGTGTCCCTCTGAGTAACGATTCTGTGTCCCTCAGTAACGAATCTGTGCCCCTCAGTAACAGATTCTGTGTCCCTGCAGTACAATTCTGTGTCCCTGAGTAACAATTCTGTGTCCCTGAGTAACAATTCTGTGTCCCTGAGTAACGATTCTGTGTCCCTGAGTAACAATTCTGTGTCCCTGAGTAACAATTCTGTGTCTGTCCCTGAGTAGTAACAATTCTGTGTCTGAGTCCCTGAGTAACGATTCTGTGTCCCCAGTAACAATTCTGTGTCCCTGAGTAACAATTCTGTGTCCCTGAGTAACGATTCTGTGTCCCTGAGTAACGATTCTGTGTCCCTGAGTAACAATTCTGTGTGTCCCTGAGTAACAATTCTGTGTCTGTGTCCCTGAGTAACAATTCTGTGTCCCTGAGTAACAATTCTGTGTCCACTGAGTAACGATTCTGTGTCCCTCAGTAACAATTCTGTGTCCCTGAGTAACAATTCTGTGTGTCCCTGAGTAACAATTCTGTGTCCCTCAGTAACGATTCTGTGTCCCTCAGTAACGATTCTGTGTCCCTGAGTAACAATTCTGTGTCCCTGAGTAAATCAATTCTGTGTCCCTGAGTAACGATTTCTGTGTCCCTGAGTAACGATTCTGTGTCCCTGAGTAACGATTCTGTGTCCCTGAGTAACAATTCTGTGTCCCTCATGAGTAACGATTCTGTGTCCCTCAGTAACATTCTGTGTCCCTGAGTAACAATTCTGTGTCCCTGAGTAACGTTTCTGTGTCCCTCAGTAACAATTCTGTGTCCCTGAGTAAACAATTCTGTGTCCCTGAGTAACATTCTTTCTGTGTCCCCTGAGTAACGATTCTGTGTCCCTGAGTAACGATTCTGTGTCCCTGAGTAACAATTCTGTGTGTCCCTGAGTAACAATTCTGTGTCCCTGAGTAACAATTCTGTGTCCCTGAGTAACAATTCTGTGTCCCTGAGTAACAATTCTGTGTCTGTCCCTGAGTAACAATTCTGTGTCCCTGAGTAACAATTCTGTGTCCCTGTAACAATTCTAACAATTCAATTCTGTGTGTCCTGAGTAACAATTCTGTGTCCCCTGAGTAACAATTCTGTGTCTGTCCCTGAGTAACAATTCTGTGTCCCTGAGTAACAATTCTGTGTCCCTGAGTAACAATTCTGTGTCCCTCTGAGTAACAATTCTGTGTCCCTCAGTAACAATTCTGTGTCCCTGAGTAACAATTCTGTGTCCCCTGAGTAACAATTCTGTGTGTCCCTGAGTAACAATTCTGTGTCCCTGAGTAACAATTCTGTGTCCCTCAGTAACGATTCTGTGTCCCTGAGTAACGATTCTGTGTCCCTGAGTAAACGATTCTGTGTCCCTGAGTAACAATTCTGTGTCCCTGAGTAGTAACAATTCTGTGTCCCTGTCCCTGAGTAACAATTCTGTGTCCCTGAGTAACAATTCTGTGTGTCCCTCAGTAACAATTCTGTGTCCCTGAGTAACAATTCTGTGTCCCTGAGTAACAATTCTGTGTCCCTGAGTAACAATTCTGTGTCCCTGAGTAACAATTCTGTGTCCCTGAGTAACAATCTGTGTCCCTGAGTAACAATTCGATTCTGTGTCCCTGAGTAACAATTCTGTGTCCCTGAGTAACAATTCTGTGTCCCTGAGTAACAATTCTGTGTCCCTGAGTAACAATTCTGTGTCCCCTGAGTAACGATTCTGTGTCCCTCAGTAACAATTCTGTGTCCCTGAGTAACAATTCTGTGTCCCTGTCCCTGAGTAACAATTCTGTGTCCCTGAGTAACAATTCTGTGTCCCTGAGTAACGATTCTGTGTCCCTGAGTAAAAATTCTGTGTGTCCCTGAGTAACAATTCTGTGTCCCTCTGAGTAACGATTCTGTGTCCCTGAGTAACAATTCTGTGTCCCCTGAGTAACAATTCTGTGTCCCTGAGTAACAAATTTCTGTGTCCCTGAGTAACAATTCTGTGTCCCTGAGTAACAATTCTGTGTCTGTCCTGAGTAACAATTCTGTGTCCCTGAGTAAACAATTCTGTGTCCCTGAGTAACATTCTGTTGCCTGTCCCTGAGTAACAAATTTCTGTGTCCCTGAGTAACAATTCTGTGTCCCTGAGTAACGATTCTGTGTCCCTGAGTAACAATTCTGTGTCCCTGAGTAACGATTCTGTGTCCCTGAGTAACGTCTCTCTGTGTCCCTGAGTAACAATTCTGTGTCCCTGAGTAACAATTCTGTGTCCTCTGGAGTAACGATTCTGTGTCTGTGTCCCTGAGTAACAATTCTGTGTCCCTGAGTAACAATTCTGTGTCCCTGAGTAACGATTCTGTGTCCCTGAGTAACAATTCTGTGTCCCTGAGTAACGATTCTGTGTGTCCCTGAGTAACAATTCTGTGTCTGTCCCTGAGTAACAATTCTGTGTCCCTCAGTAACAATTCTGTGTCCCTCAGTAACGATTCTGTGTCCCTGAGTAAACAATTCTGTGTCCCTGAGTAACAATTCTGTGTCCCTTCTGAGTAACAATTCTGTGTCCCTCAGTAAAATTCTGTGTCCTGAGTAACGATTCTGTGTCCCTGAGTAACGATTCTGTGTCCCTGAGTAACAATTCTGTGTCCCTGAGTAACGATTCTGTGTGTCCTGTGAGTAACAATTCTGTGTCCCTGAGTAACAATTCTGTGTCCCTGAGTAACAATTCTGTGTCCCTGAGTAACAATTCTGTGTCTGTCCCTGAGTAACAATTCTGTGTCCTGAGTAACAATTCTGTGTCCCTGAGTAACAATTCTGTGTCCCTCAGTAACAATTCTGTGTGTCCCTGAGTAACAATTCTGTGTCCCTGAGTAACAATTCTGTGTCCCTGAGTAACAATTCTGTGTCCCTGAGTAACAATTCTGTGTCCCTGAGTAACGATTCTGTGTCCCTCAGTAACAATGTTCTGTGTCCTGAGTAACAATTCTGTGTCTGTCCCTGAGTAACAATTCTGTGTCTCCTCTGTAACAATTCTGTGTCCCCTGAGTAACAATTCTGTGTCCCTGAGTAACAATTCTGTGTGTCCCTGAGTAACAATTCTGTGTCCCTGAGTAACAATTCTGTGTCCCTGAGTAACGATTCTGTGTCCCTGAGTAACAGATTCTGTGTCCCTGAGTAACAATTCTGTGTCCCTGAGTAACAATTTCTGTCTGTCCCTGAGTAACAATTCTGTGTCCCTGAGTAACAATTCTGTGTCCCTGAGTAACAATTCTGTGTGTCCCTGAGTAACAATTCTGTGTCCCTGAGTAACAATTCTGTGTCCCTGAGTAACAATTCTGTGTCCCTGAGTAAACAATTCTGTGTCTGTCCCTGAGTAACAATTCTGTGTCCCTGAGTAACAATTCTGTGTCCCTGAGTAAACAATTCTGTGTCCCTGAGTAACGATTCTGTGTCCCTCAGTAACAATTCTGTGTCTCTGAGTAACAATTCTGTGTCCCTGAGTAACAATTCTGTGTCTGTCCCTGAGTAACAATTCTGTGTCCCTGAGTAAAAATTCTGTGTCCCTGAGTAACAATTCTGTGTCCCTCAGTAACAATTCTGTGTCCCTGAGTAACAATTCTGTGTCCCTGAGTAACA